TGGCCTTTGATGTTCGGGCAAGTAAACCCGAGTGATCTCTTTAAATCTAGCACACTAAAGTCATCTGATTTGGATGTGTTGGTTGGAAGCCCGTTACACGGACTTCAAAGGAAGCCATGAGCTTTATTTGCAGAAAAATATAATTAGATAGTTTGTATATATTTATGTTTATAGTTCAATTGAATAACATGTTTGAAAAATGTTTGGTTGTAAACATTGGGACTGACCGTAAACTACTTTGACTGGTGTAAGTGGTTTGAAACGTGTAACCAATCTGGGTAAATATTAGGGAATTCTTAGAAAATATTTTTTTAGAAAAAGATTGTTGTCAGTCAACAAATAGTTGGAGTCAGTCATTGTCATGATTTGAAAAACGAAAATGAGCATATTTTGCATCACATGTTTTCACGAGAGTAAGACCATAATATGTTCCATGTGCTAACCCAATACCTGTAAAAGTGAACAAGTGTTGTAACTTTTGATTTTGTTGAGTTGCGTTAGGGAATGGCTAAAAACCTTGTTTTACTTGTTATATATCTTTATGGGGTTAATGTCAAGTTATCTCAAGGCCCGACAGCTACACCTTCGACTGTATGACATAATGAGGTTAATTGGATTGAACATGTTCGTTGTTTTGTTCATTGCATTAATGTTTGAAAAAAAAAAATATATATATATATATATATATATATCTTTTTGTACATATGTTATTTTCTTTATTTCTTCTTTTATTGCATGCACACATTCTTAATTCCATTTAGTCCTTTTCGTTCCTTCCATTCTTTTCATCTTGGTTTCTTTTTAGTCACCTGTCGTCTTCTCTAGGTAGATTCTCGATTTCGTTCTTTCTTGAGGACAAGAAAGGTCTAAGCTTGGGGAGGTTTGATAGGTGCATTTTATGCACCTACTTTGTATGTTTATTTCCATCTTTTTATAGCATTCTACTTTATAATTCTTGCATTTAGTTGATTATTAGGGCAATTGCATATTTCATTAAGAGTGCCTGGTACTTCACTATTTTTGATTTATTTTGCAGGCATTATGGAGCATGGAACGTGGAGCTTGGATGCATGGATGCATGGATGCTTGGATGCTTGGAACGTAGAGCTTTGGAACATGAAGATGGAGCCAACAGTGAAGACGTTTTGGAATTTTAGCAAAAAGCATGGGCCATGCCAAAAACGCATGGTCAAGACAAATGGCCATGCCAACGAAAAACACATGGGCAAAAGGCATGGCCATGCTAAAAACGCATGGCCTCATGGCATGTCACGTGAACTTTAATAAAAGAGCAGGAGACGTCATTTTTGAGGGGAGAACGGTTTTGGGAGTAGTTTCTGGCGATCTAGGCCAATTTTGGGAGAATTCTTGGAGCTTTTGAGAAGACTTAATCATTGCAAACATTGGGATTTCACTTTTGTAAGGATTAAACATTCCAATTCCATCTTATTCTTGTTTGATTTGTTCTTAGCCATGTGTGGCTAAGAAACCCTAGTTCTAGTTCTTGTTCAAAAAATGTTGATTGCTTGACTTGAAGCATATGATTTGATGTTTGATTTGTGATTCTATTCTAGTGATTATGTTTTTGTTTAAACTAGAATCCTTGAATTTGATTTGTGTTTGATTGGCCACTTTCATGAATTGAATTTTTGTGCAGTTAATTAACTTTTAGGGCACCTAATCGTTCTATTGAGTTAATAATTGGTAACAAGCAATAAGTTTTCTTATTGTAAAACATATATCACATGTTTTCACACTTCCGAGCGTATGAGAAGAAATGAACATTGTTGGGAAGCTTGTACAAAACTTAATGCAGTTTTTCAATACAATCTAAGAGCGTGTTTAGGTTGAATTAGTAAAGCTAGGTCTAATCAAAGAGCGTGTTTTGGTTAGATAATTTGGCAAGCGAGAGTTATTAGAGCGTGTTAATATCTTTCAGTACCAACATAGAATAGCAATCTTGAATTACATCAAGTCATAATCAAGTTGAACAACAACATTGAGAACTAGAACTAGAACCATTCAATCAATTTGTTTACAAATCTATTTCATTTTGTGCATGCTTTTAAAGTAGATTGTTATTTAGTTATTTACTTTTGCAAACAAACCCCTTCTTTGTGACCAAAGTACCTTGTGCAAAAAGGTATAGACTTTTGTCCCGTGTCTCTGTGGTTCGACCCTGCTTGCCTTGTACTACTTTTTAGTGCATTAAAGCAGTGTATTTGGAGTCTATTGTACCCCTTTTATTTGTTGGGTCTGACACACTTAACACTTGCAAAATTAATTTTTTAAAATAAAAGCAACTAACATATAGATCAAGTTTACCAAGATCCTTTTCATATGATTTGTCTGTCAAAGAAACATAAAATTCAGAATTATAATCTAAAAAAATAGTTAAAAAACTAAAATATTTCAACTTTGATAGATCAACTTTGAAGGATTATAACTCACTGAATATAACACGAAAATCAAGAAAATTATAGTCTAAATTCATCTACAAACTGTAAACTAAATATTGGAAAAAACCGTAGGTCAATCCGACTTAAAACGAATGAGATATGGTTGTTCAAAAAAATTCACAGATTACAAAATTTTAAAAATTTTGCTGAAAAACTGAAAATTTTCAGCTTTGATAACTCAAATTTGAAAGAATATAACTTATTAAATATAATACCAATATCAACAAAAATATAGTTTAAATTTATCTACAAACTGTAAATTAAATATTGGAAAAAACCACGTGTCAATTCGACTTAAAATGAATGTGTTATGATTATTTAAAAAAAATTCACAGATTACAAAATTTTAAAAATGTTGCTGAAAAGCTAAAAATTTTCAGCTTTGATAGCTCAACTTTGAAAGACTGTAACTCATTGAATATGATACCAAAATCAACAAAATTATAGTCTAAATTCATCTACAAACCGTAAATTAAATGTTGGAAAAAACCGTATGTCAATTCGACTTAAAACGAATGAGTTATGGTTGTTTAAAAAGTTTCACAGATTGTAATTTTTTTAAATCAGGTCCAAACCAGTTCTAAACCCGGTAAAAACCGGACCGGACCGAAAAAAAAAACCAGACCGGTTTTGTTGGATTCCAAGAGCCGAGAACCGGCCCGAGGGTCCAAAAAAACGGTTTGGTCCGGTTCGGTTCACCAGTCCGGTCCAATCCGGTTCACCGGTCCAAATGCTCACCCATATTCCCCACCTCGTCCCCACTCTATCCTTACACTACCATCCCCTTTCACTTTCCTCTATTTTCTCTCCCGTTCCGCTTCCTTACTCATTCTTCATCCGTTTTTTTTCTCTAATGACCACCGCCTTACCACCATAAAGGAGATCGAACAAAACACATTACAATAAAGAAACGGACCACACCCACCCTAACATATTAAGGTTTGTCTCATGTCCAATCTCAGAGTCCCCTCCTCCCCTTTTCCTGTTGTCCTATCCAGTAACCAACCCCACCACCCACCGGTCACCTCATTTTGAAATTTAACCTGAATTAGGGGATATCTGTACAAATTTTCTATCTAATTCCAAAATAAACCAAAAAAATAAAATCTGAAAAACACATCACCAATAATTTTGTAGTATGGTCACATGTTGATCTTTCTATTGTGGTCATATTTCTATTTTTAAAAGTGTTATGTGTATTTGAAAGGCATTCCATTTTCATTGGAAAAGGGTTTCGATTTCTAGATGTTCAACATTTTAAGGTGGTTGGAGAGGAGGCTAATCTTCAACCCTTGAAGAAAAAAAGTTGTCGCCTGAGTTCCACCTTTCATTAGAAAACTTATTAGAGAATTAAGAAGGGTAGCGAACTTGCAATGACGTTGTTACCACTATAAGGGTAATATTGTTTTTATTTTATACATATTTAGTCACAAATGTTTGTTATTATTATTATTATTATTATTATTATTATTATTATTATTATTTGCAAAATACATCAGTTAATTTGTTGGTTTTGCACACATTACATACTTATGACCTCTTGTTCTAGGTTTCTAGCAAAAATATGGATTTTGCGACCATTTTGGCATCTTTGGCGGACCTCCGATCATCTTCCTCGACGATATATGATTTTTCGATGATTTTATTTGTCCTACTAATCTCCAACGATTTTGTCTTTCCGGCGATCTTCATCTTCATCTTCATATGTTTTCATAAGATATTTTTAAATTTCTTGTGACCATATGTTAGCAACAAGCTGGAAAATTGGGTCATTGAAATTGGATGCCGATCAAGGATATGTTTCCGACGAGTGTTTCTTGAAAGGTGTATTTGTGTTGCGATGTGAACAAGAACACAAACAGCATTGCTGGAAATTTTATGATATATATTTTCATATGAAGACAAAGATGAAGTTCGCCAAAAAAACAATAAATCATCAGAGAAGATGACCAGAAAAATAAAATCGCAAGATACCAGCCCGAAAAACATAATAGCCGTAAAAATCATATATTGTCAGAGATGCCAAAATCGCAATAAAATCCATCTTTTGACAGGAAACCTACAGCAACATGTCACAAGGACCAGTTGTGGACAAAACCAACAAATTATCCGTATACTTTGCAATATATATATATATATATATATATATATATATATATATATATATATATATATATATATATATATATATATATATATGTATATATATGATGGTGACTAAATATATACAACACAAAAGCAATATTAATTATTACCCTTTTAATTATTTTGTTTGAAATAAAACCATTCAGAAAAATTAAGTCCATATAGAGACTTTGACCAAAATGCAACGTGAATGAAGGGTCGCACTACGAAGTAAGAACCACTCATCTCCAAGATTATGACTTCCATACTTTTTAGCAAGTCAATTAAAACTTCACTACCAAACCGAACTCATGTTTGAAAGGTCATGATGATCGATCCACATACACTTACAACAAAAATTCAATTATTCTTTTTATATCTAATTTGGAATATAACGGATTAAATAGATAACTGTCCTCAAGAAGAGGAGCTCTTCGACTGGGAGGAACTCTCTTTTGAGGGTGATTCCGTGAAGAAAACAACACGCTCGGTGTTATCAACAAATAACGTGACAGATCGAGGGATCGGAGGCATATTCACATCCATAACCCCTTCAAGGATCTGTTCCACCAAACTCATTGAAGGCCTACTGTCTTCCTCATCTTGGATACACCAACATGCAACTTTGCATATTTTCGAGACTTCTTCAACACTAGCTTCCCTGTTTAACCTTCTGTCTACCAAGCTAAGGACATCACCTCCCACCTTCAGAACATTAGAAGCTAAACAAGGGAAGAATGGACTCCTTGAATCTTCCGATTGCTCTGCATTTCGCTTACCATTAACTAATTCAAAAAGCATCATTCCATAACTATAAACATCTGCTTTGGCTGTGACAGCCACCCCAGATAACCATTCTGGTGCTAGATACCCTCGTGTCCCTCTTATAGTTGTCAAAACCCTACTAAATTCTCGACCAACAAGCTTTGCCAGACCAAAATCTGCAATTTTCGGACAGAATTCAGCATCTAGAAGAATGTTTTCTGGCTTTATGTCACAGTGAATGATACAATCTCTGCACTTCTCATGTAGATAAACCAAGCCTCTTGCAGTTCCAAGTGCAATCTGATACCTTGTTTCCCAGTTTAAAACTTGTTTTCCATGGAAAAGATGGGTGTCCAGAGAACTGTTTGCCATGTAATCATACACCAACAGCTTATTGTTACCTTGTGCACAAAACCCACGAAGGCGTACAAGATTAACGTGTTGGATAGTACCGATTGTGCTGACTTCACTCCTGAACTGCTTCTCTCCTTGGCTGATGCTTTCAAGCTTTTTCACTGCTATAATAGACGAATCATGCAGTACCCCCTTGAATACAGAGCCAAACCCACCTCCTCCTAATTTGTCCGAGAAATTTTTGGTGGCAATTTGTAAATCTTTGTAGACAAATGACACCAATGATCCCTCCATTCTCGTCTTACCCACCGATATCCTCTTTTTTCTAAAGATCAAGACCAAAGTTACACCCAAGACAAAAACCACTCCTCCTACAAACCCAACAACAGCACCCACGGTGACCCAATTAGTCTTTTTATGACGTGGAAGATCTTTAGAAGCGACTTTGACAAAGATTGTTTTCCCACTATCATTATCATTGTCTTCCGAGAGGTTCAAGAGATCTCCATTCCAAACCAAACACTGATTATCGACAAAAGAGTAAGCATTACATGAGCAACTGTTCAAACAGGTGGTACGACATTCTCCAGCACTCCCAACTGCCATGGATTTATTTGGAGGCAAACTCTTGACTGTAATCTTGAGAAAATCAGCCTTTTCCACGTTTCTCCCACACTGTAAATCGGTTTTCCGTACACATCCACCAGAAAAATCACTCTGATTCCAATCACTCTCAGATCTAGGCTTGAAGCCAGTCAAGCAATTACAGAAAGGTAATCCAGATTGGCTGCAAGTCCCAAAAGCCCCACACAAAGCGTAGACCTCGCATTGCGTTCTAGGTTGAGACCAAAATAAATTCCACTGTTTGCTAGCTTCCAGCCATGTTAGTTGCTGAACTTGACCAGAAACATCCATTATGAATCTAGATATAATGGAAGGATTATACACAGAATAAGTGAAGTAACTCTCATTCTCATTCGTCTGGTAGCTGAAATTGTAAATGTAATTCAACCTCATTTCTGGTACTAACTCAAATATTTTCCCATTCCAAGCACCACTTGTCCAATATCGTTGGGAGCCATTCCACTTGCTTATGTACTCTGTAGTAAACGGGTCAAGCTCCAAAGAGAAGAGTCCTACACCAGGATCTTCTTTGCTTCTCCATGATGTAAGAAGCTGGCTTTTTTTGGTTCTATTATCATAAGCAAGTTTAGCACCAGGCAACCAAGTGTGAGTTGGGTGCTCAAAACTTTGCCAAAAAGGTTCAATTGAATTTGAAGTACTGTCTCTCAAGACTAAGTTACCACCATCAAGAAGAACAGCTATTACAGACTTCAAAGTAGTGGTGGTGGAGACATTTGTGGACCAAATCTGGAACTTGGACTCATTCAAGAGCACCAAATTACCATTAATGATTTTTAGTTCTGAACGAAATCTATCAGAGATGGGTGTTTCTCTGTTCGCCACCCAAACTATGGTGGGGGGATTGGAAGAGACCTTGTTATACCATATGCCTATGTAATACTTGGAAGAGTTACCTGCTTTGAAGAAACCCAGCTCGAACACTTCATCTTTGGATACGATTGTTTGGTCTCCAGAAAGAGACTGGCTTGCAGAAATGGTGTTCACTCCGGATGAGAGATTTATGGTACGAGAGAAACACAGGAGGACCAGAATCCTCACTAAACTGTTACTTTTTGTAAAGCACATGACTTATACAAAAATGGGACAATAAAGAGAAAAAGAGAGATGACAAATATCATATAATAACATGTTATCAGTATTGGGTTTTATAGAACTAAAATCTGACTATCGGAGCCCTCTGATAAAGATCTTAATAAGAGGTCATGCATGATTGGTTGCTAGTCAACAAAAAAGTTGCTCTAACTTGTTAAAGCCGCTTGGAATAATAGTCATACAAGTCAGTCTATAGAAATTGAAAATATTCTTTCATTTCCTTTCTCGTACGTTGTGAAGTTAAAATACAGTTACGCAAGACTTTGAAGATTTCAAATAACTTGAACTAAATACACAAATTGACAGTGGAATGGTTCATGAATCACCTATATTTCACATGTATGACATGTCACATCCACCCCTTCCATTCACAGACGTAAATGCAAAGTCAAAATTTCTACATGGTGGGACTTGACAATTGACATCCTTGCTTTCTCCATCAAGACAAAGCAAATTTATACAGGAGATAATGGGTTGCTGTTAATCGTCATATGGGTTAGCAATGCAACCCTCTACCATTAATTTCCAACTTAGCTCTAATTATTTCGGTCCCTGATAATGTAGAAGAAACAATAAGAAGCATGGTATAATGAAAACTAAGTCGCTAGATATATAACTTGTTAGGTATTATATATTGTTAGAGGAACGCATACGCATAGAGCCAAAGTTTCATTTCAGTTCTACTAACCGATCTGGGAATATGTTTGTCGTCTCTAAAAGTAATTAGGTCGTGACGAAACTTGACACTAAAAGACTCGTCAGCCGTCGCTAAAGGTTTGCTTTGCGACTACAAGGCTGTTGTCGTTGTAGAAGTTATGGGCTCATAGCAAACGCATATAAAGACAACATTTTGCTAATGAAGATTTATAAAATAAAATAATAAATCGATAAATGAGTTTAGCAACAGCATGTATATAATTAATTACATTAAATTCCATAAAAGAAACGGTAAATATAACACCCACTATTTGTTTGACTTCCGACCCTTAGATTATGCATTATGGGGCACTTAAGGCCCGTTGTTGCCGATGTGTAGCCTCCTCAACCGCGTTACCACGGGAAAAACCCCTCCCCTCTTCCCGTTAAGTGGTGTTTCGTGGTGATGGTAACAAGCTGCAACACGGTTTTTTTCTTTGACTTTTCCACTTGACCGTTGAAAGAACGGTCAAATTGCATATAAAAAAAATATTTACCTATAAATACATACTAACACTTTATTTTTAATCACCACTTTATTTTCTTTCTCTTTATTTCATAAACTTTCAATAATTCAAAAAAAAAAAAAAATGGATCTGTTTGATCCATTCCATCTATGCAATGATGATGATGATGATGACGACGATATATCTTATTCGTCGGTATAATAAGTATTGTATGGGCATGCTACTACAATCATATCTAGCTCCACTAGTAACACAATGTGTGGCGTTAAACAAAGATCGTGAAGAAAGGGACAGACGTCTAGTTCAAGATTATTTTGTGGATAATTGTGTCTACTAGCCACGCGATTTCAAAAGAAGGTTTCATTTGAGAAAAAGTGTGTTTCTACGGATAGCTAAGGCCTTGGAAAGCATGTATTGTTTCTTTAAAGTTTTGTAATTTATGAATGCAAGTTTTAGATAAAATAAATACCTTTTTAACCTATTATATATGTTTTGGTATGAATTTTTCCAATTGAAATATAATGCTAGAGGTAAGTGAGAATTCATAGGGTTGCGGAAATGCGATGCGAAAATTAATCTTATGGTTATGGGGGAGTCACCCGATTCTATTAACGATTATATGCGAATGTATAAGAGAAGTGCAAGAAAAAGTTTGTATACATTCGCAAGAGGTGTTGTCGAAACCTTCACTGACGTTTATTTGCAGAAACATTTGTTGAATGATATGCAACAACTATATGTGGCACATGAAGAAATACATGGTTTCCCGGGTGTGCTTGGAAGCATTGATTGCACACACTTGAATTGGAGAAATTATCATGTGGCTTGGAAAGGCCAGTATGCAAGTGGCCATCATGGAGTGCCTTCGTTGGTATTAAAGGTTGTTGCTTCCCAAGATTTATGGATTCTACATGCTTTATTTAGGGTTGTGGGTTCGAACAATGACGCCAATGTTCTTTTTTAGGGTGCAAATCTCTCCATTGGATGGTGTCTTAGGCTTACCCCTTGTGATATGGGTTTTTGGGTGTATATATATATATATATATATATATATATAATATATATATAATATATATATATATATATATATATATATATATATAGTTTTCATGTATAGGTTTGAGAGAGCTCCCATTGTATAGATATATAGAGAGAGTAGTTTTAGAAAGAGATAGGGAGAGAGAGTAAGAGAGAGAGAGAGAGAGTAAGAGAGAGAGAGAGAGAGAGTAAAGTAGTAAGCGAGCACATGCTTCTACATCTCTTTCATTATCTACACAAACTATGCTGAAACTTTAAACCGAGTCTTATCGATTATTCTTTGATTCTTCAATTCCGCATTTGTCATCATCATTGGGATCCTATATGTGGTATCAGAGTGGGAGTCGCTTCATTAATTAAAGAATCCTCGTGTGTTTTTCATCTTTTTGAATTGATCATTCCGATTCATTGTTCTGCAATTTGAAAATGCAATTCTTCACTTAATCAATAAGTGCTTAATTGATCTACTATTGTTTCTATCAATCGAAATCTTAATCTCTCAATTCTCTTTTAGTAATTTCTCTTTTCATCAAATCAAATCAAATCAAATAGAAAATCTGAATGTGAACACGATGATGAATAATGTGAATCTTCTTGGATATGCAATGAAGATTTCGATGCTGATTCTCGAGTATTATGATCAGTGGGCCAATTGGATGGAAGATTATCTTAATGGCAACGATGAGAATCTGTGGAAATCTATCAACGAGTGAAATTATCGTGAAGATTTGGTTAAGAATGTTGGAAGTGTCGGAACACCTGCAGACATGGTTATACAAGCAAACACCAGGAAGACTTGTGATAAGAAAGTTCTTCGTGAATTGAGAGGTGCTCTTCCTCCTGCCGTCTACAACTATTTTTGTGGTTGTACAACTGCTAAAGAAATATGGGATACATTGAAGAGAAGTATCAAGGAAATGAAAGTACAAGGAAGAGTTGAATGACAAAATGTCTGTCTGAACTTGCTGATTTCAAGCAGAAAGAAAACAAAAACATTGAAGTTTATTACGACAAGATGAATGATCTGATCTTTAGAGTTGGCAGAAGAGTTATATCGGCAAGCGTCAATCTGAGTTGGAGTTCAAGGTTAGAGACATGGTTTTGCTTGAATCAAGCCAAGTTAGAGGTAGATTAGTCTTTTACCCCAAGCATGGATTTATGATTATGAGTTGGAACCTAATTATTAATTGGGTGTTGTTTTGATGTTGACAGTTTGGGAACCTATCATCCAACAGTTGGGATTGGGTCTGCAGGACTTCAGCAGTGTGAGGTGAGTTACCTTCCAGTAGCGGTGGGTCTACGGCCACAATGTCGACCCCCTAGTAGGAGTTGTATGTTAGATGATTGTCTTTGTGATATTCATCTAGGTTTGCTACTACCTGATATGTTTATGTGCTAGCATGATATGTTACATGTGATGTGGTAGTAGGAGGGGAATAGTCTCCAAGTTCGGTTATTAGGACCGAAGGGTAGGTCGGGCACCTCAGATATGTCTGACAGTATGTTTATGCTATGATATTATGTGTTAGTAGTAGGAGGTGAAATAGTCCTCGTATCTTGGTCGTAAGGACCGAAGGGTAGGTCGGGTACCCCAAATATGCCTGACAATATGATTATGCTATGATATGTGTGGTAGTAGTAGTAGGGGTGAAATAGTCCCCGGAGTTCGGTTGTTAGGACCGAATGGTAGGTCAGCTCCCCATAATGGCTTGACACGGGTAGGTCGGCACCCTAGAATGGCCGGACCGGGTAGATCGGGCACCTAGAATTTTCCGGCAGTATGTATGCTATGTGATTGTATGGTATGTGGTATAATGGGGGAACTCACTAAGCTACATGCTTACGATTTTCAATTTTGGTTTTAGGTACTTCGTTTTTATAGGAAACGAGTCGACTCGATCGCAACACATCACACTATGGTTTTTCCCGCACATAAGATCTTTGGGATTACACTCTGATATTGTTTATGATAACATCTTTTGATTAATTCGACTTTGGTTTTGACATGACATGATATGATGGATGTTTCTTATATTGTAGGTTTTATAATAACTTATTTAAAAATGAAATTTTTGGCCTTGAATTTTGGGATATTACATTTACATTCATGCATAACTAGGAGAGGTATAAAAGCTTATAACAGACTAAAAGAAGAGCTTAATAGATGCACAAAGTCCTTAAGACCATAATGTTGGCACCTTTATGCCAAAAGAACTCATGAAGATCATAGATTTGAAAGAATAAGAACTTAGGACTTCTACTTCCCTAACAATCACCCATCCATGGTTAAAAGATTGCAATTTTAATCAATAAGAGATCTAAGCAAATATGAAGCAAGGTTAGAAATTTATACCCAAGATGTGTTGGAAATGAAACAGAGAATCTAGATTTGAAAGCTCCTACTTGAACCATCACCTTGCACCAAGATTTCATTCCCTTCAGTAAGCTTCCAACACACCAAAACACACCCATAATAAGCTCACAACACTCAAGGAGGCTCTAGGGTTTTAAGATTAGGGTTAGGAGCTATGATGGATGGGAATGAGACCAACCCCTGGAAGTTAAGGTGTTTTAAGCTTCAAACTCATACCTTCTTCTATTAATTCTCTTTTTTGTTTAAAAAAATGAATCCCAACAATCTAACCTCAAACTCTGATAGAAAAAAAAAAGAAAAAAAAAAAAAACCAATGTTTCAAGTTCAAGCACTGCAAATCGAAACATTTTCGCTATCGATTCATCTCAAGAGGTTTATCGTCCCCAACTAGACGCTCCCATCTATTCTCATCCACAATTCCAATACCAAAATGTTAGGTAATTCTACCCAATGCAAGTTCCAAATGTTACTCCAAATATGTTTACAAACTTTATTGTTTTTCCGGTATCAACTTTTGCCAAATCAAACCCCAAACCGAAATCTCCATCAATCTCAAACCTAAACCCAAACCCAAACCTAACCCTCTCACTCTCAACCACAATATCAAAGCATCGATGAGTCGGAGGAAGAGATTGTATGGGAAAGTCAACCCACACTGCCCCCAACAGCGCAAAGGAAATCAATAGGCGGAAGATGGAAGGCAGAAGCTAATATCATCGAGTCCACTTGACGAGCTAGTTTAAAAAAAAAAAAAAAAAAAGCTTTGGTTGCCATTTCAAAAGATTCAGCGAAGGGAAATGCACAACCTGCAGATCATTTTTAGATTTGCATTCTTGAGAGATTTTGCAATGAGTTGGGTAAAAAAGATGAAGAGTACCGTAGCAAACACCAAATGAATTCAAAGCTTCAAGAAATAGCGAAAGTTGTCTAAAAAATGAACGAGTTGTACAACAACCTAAAAGACCAGAGGAAAAGCGGTCAAGGAGATGAAGAAATTTTGCAAGAGGCTTTGCGTTTTTTCCTCGTGGAAACGGTCGCATTCAAGGTGGAAAAAATACGAACAAGATTTTATACTACGAGAAGGACAATAAAAAGGAATAAAAACGAGCTCCAGTGGATACATAACTTCTTCTGATGCTCGTGTCGGGCTAAATTTAAATGACAATGATGAATTGGAGCATGAAGAACTTGTCCGACCGACGGGTAAGGACAAAGCAAAACAGAAGGGGAAGAAGACTTCTTTCGCTGCATCGGATTTCAACATGAATGCGGATGAAATACGGAAAACGACGACAACATTTGATCGATACAATCTGAACTTCGCTGAACGTTTGACATTTGACAAAGAAAAAGAAACTAAAGAAAAAAGAACGGGCTGAAAGGCAAAAAATGAAGAATATGAAGTTCATGAAAAAGAAACACCAATCATTTTACGGGACTAGCATCGAGCGACTTTGAAGAAGAAAAAGAAAATCATGAAAAAATATTTATCATAGCTTAATTCGTTTTTTTTAAGCGTACGTTTTTTTTAGTTATTGTAATCTTAACTTTTTTTATAATTTTTATTTTAATTAATGAAATGGTGTTTTAATTTTAATTAGTTTATATATATATATATATATATATATATATATATATATATATATATATATATATATATATATATATATATATATATAACTTAAAAATCAATTACTTTTATTTAGAAAGTGAAAAATGTTCCTAAGTTTTGGTGAAAGAAAGAAAGATCGAACGAAAAGCTAACATTACTGGCAAAAAGTGAAACATATAGATCCTCGTGTCTAAAGGGTTGCTCTTGTGTCAATAAAGATGAACATTTAGATCGGGAACCGGTCAAAACTAATACCGAAACCGGAGATCCGATTGGGCCGAGATCGTGACAATATTCTTGTGAATTTTTGAAACTGGAAACTGGTATGAACTTGAACCGGTAGAACCGGCAAAAATAGGGACCGTATTTTGCTATTTCTCGAGAACCATTTCCAACATCGAAGACACAACAAGAACCGGTAGGAACTGGAACCGGTAGAACCGGCGGTCCGATTCAGTTCCTATTTTCCACCAAGTTCGGCTCCCGGACCGATTCAGATTCTGTCCCGTTGCCGGCCAAGCCGGTTTCAATACTCTTCCGGTCATCCCTATGTGTCAATGTACCCATTGTTGTTACCCAGATCATTAAGGTTCATATTGCTAAAAAAATCCAAGAAGGGACTTGAGATGCTCTTGTTGTCGGCTATATCACATGGGCATGTTATGTTTTTTAGCACGTGGAATAGGAGAACAGCCCAATTGAAGCCAATGGATTGGGCTAGTGGGAAGCGTTCGTTGCTGCTGAGGGAGTCGGAAAAACCCTATTTTGTGGCCTGAATTATAAATAAGTCCATGGAGCTGGACCCTTCCTATAATTCCAAGGGAATCCATATTGAAATTGCGACGGAGGAGATTAACCAGGCAGCGCCTGCTACTGTCGACCGTTTCTCTGCTTCCGCCGGTTTCCACGAACACCACGCATAGCATACGACTTGTCTGCGGCTAGGGTTGGCATGCCGTATATAGTGAAGAGAAGAAAACGAGATTTGGGTGAGGCAGAAAAGGAAAGAGATAAGACAGAAATTATAGAAATTAATGTTTTTTTTTTCCCATGAAGTGCATTCAACTTAATATATATCTATACAAATCAACCAATACAAGAAGAGGGGTGGCTACACTAGGATATAGGCCGATACCTATACAAAGGAACAGTGGGCTCGGCCCAAGCTACTATGCAACATAAACATGAAAATGCCATACAACATAATATATTCTAACTGTAACACCTAGATTCTATTCTAATGTTTGTTGTGGAAGGTTTTCATTTCAATCCATTTGATTTTCCTCTCTAATCCTTCATTGGTTATAAAGTTTCAATAATATAAGATGGGTCAACAATTCAAACATAACCTCCCTGAATTATGTTTTTTTACCATGTACATGGGTTTTCCAACCTATAGTGTGTTATGATCATGTCCAAGTGATTTTTGTTCATAGTTTTGGAAAGGTAATCGCAATTGGGAGCTTGTTGACATATTGATTTGTTAGCGTACTTTGGAGTTGGAATGAGGTATCTCTTTTAGAAAATCAAGGGATTTCATGTTATTTAGCCGCTTTTGAGGTTAGCCATTGTATATTGGTCGATTGGAATTTGAATAATTCGGGAATTGCACTTTGGATTGGTTGAATTTCATGTGGAATATGGGATTTTGTAGATGAAACAAACCACATATTTAGTTTGTTTAATTAGGGGATTTAACTTTTTCACCGCAGTAACATTCATGGATAACTAAAAAAGTTAAAATATTATTCAAAACAGCAAATAGAGCAATTTTGGAATTAAATCAGATTTTTAATAAATAAAACATTAAAAAGGTTAAAATATGTAAAAAGAAAAAAAAATTATTCAAAACAGCAAATAGAGCAATTTTGGAATTAAATCATATATGTTTGGATATGATCACTTGATTAATCGGCAAACAATAAAAATCTAACTTGTTTACATTTTAACATAAATGTGTGTTACTTTTTTCTTAAAATTACTCTAGAAACACTGAAAGTTGATATGCATCAAAGTCCTCAACTAAAAAATTTAATGCTTTCTCGATTATGGCTCTTTCTTTTCAGCAGTCCTTCCATTACCACTCTCTTCTTGTAATCCTCCGGCGACCCTTTTTCCGGCAAGTTTGCCACCATGTTTACCGATCTCTGACCATTATTTCTATCATCTTTCCGGTGAGGATAAACAGAGCAAACATATATCAAAGTACACAGAATCCCTAAAAGCTTTCCCAAAAACATTGTGAAAAATAGACTACTAACCATTAAATACACCCCAGAATTCAACTCAAGACTACCGTTGACTTTACCATTTGAGTTTTTACTCGGTTTTTTATGAGAAACAGATTTTTCGGCGGGAAAAGATATCGAATGATTAGTTTCCGAAACTGGACCAGTGTTTTCCTGCGACTTTTGAGGATCTTTCTCAACATAGCTTTCCGATTTACCTTCCGATATATCGCCGGAAAAAGAGTTACTATTTGACTTCACAGGAAGTTGATGGATGTATCTCTCAGCAGCAACCCTTTTCCTCTGTTGTAAATCTCTATTACGGCGGCCGGAAGTTTTACTGGAGACGGTAGAATATGATGATCCGACTGTTGGTGGTAGTTTTATGTAGTCTCCGTCGTCTGTTTCGATGACCGGAGGACGCATACAGAGGAAGAACTTGGTTTTCATATTTGGTTGTTAGGAATCTGCAGAATAAAGTAATAAAATGTTCAATGATCTTGTGTTAGTGTTTGTTTATAGGAAGAAAATTTTGGAGATTTATACAAAAATAAAAAGCAATAGAGAGAGAGAGAGGAGCCAGCAGGTGGCATGTGGCGGCGGCTGGCGGAGATTTGTCTGTTTCGGATCGTAGAGGAATAAAGAGCGGAGGTTGAAGACAATTGGACTAATAATAAATGGTTTCATGTTTTTGGACCTGATCTCTTAACTTTAGAAACTCAGTCCCCTCGTGTCTTTCATTACCAATATGTAAATTATATAATATATTCACAAAAATTATATAATATATTATTGTCTGCTGTTTCAAAAAAATATATATTTTTATATAATATAGTAATATATTAACTAAACTTGAAGACAAAAGCTTGGATAAAAATAAATATAAGAGCATTTCAAGCATTTTCAAAGTTTTTGTTTCTAAAAAGCAATAAGAATTTTCAGAAAAAAATAAAAAGAAAAAGAAAATAGACAATTTAATAAATAAAAAGTAATAAAGTGATAAGCGGGTCTAATAAATTGATAAAAGTAACTGTTGTGGAGGGTTTTTTTAGAGCATACAGTATGGATCAAAAATGAGAAACAACATGCTGATGTGGCATTCCTCAACGGTGTCATGACGGGGGGAACACCGATCTTGTTATGGTGGATCTTGTGGTAACGAGGACAAGATAAAACAAGAAAAATGATTAGCTATCTCATTCATCAACCAATCAAATAATTTTCTGTATTTTCTCTCTCTCTCTATCTTTTAACAAGATATAACATCTAGAACACCATTTCCCCCTTAGTGTTATGGATGAGGTGACACCAATTTGGTATTATATCTGGTTGCCCATATCCAATGCTCTTAGCATTATTGTTTAAGAAGTTGATGTTTGTTGTAATGAAAAAATTAACAAATAAACTTTATTATAATAAATGCTCCGAGAAAAGTGGTATGCCATTTTCGTGGTTTTGATCGGTATTTCAAGATTATTGCAATTTCTCTCTCACCAACGAGAATTCTTAACACGGAAGGAATCATGGAAAAAACTAGAGAAATGACAATAAGACTCTTATTTGTTGCAGTTATAGAGAATTCGTAACAAACAAACCGTATATGAAAATGCCATGAAGCTTAAATTTTAACCGACTATGGTTGATATAACCATGAAATTTTTTGAACTTTTGTCCCCACAATGTTCTACTTCACCTTGCCTCTTTGAATAAGATCTTTTTTCTCAATCTTTTCGATGTCCAAAAGGTTTCTAATCAAATTCGTTCTTTTGAGGCTTGTCCTTTGTCTGTTTCTTTATCAAGATGTTTAAATTCAAAGAAAGCTTCTCTTTTTCTCCATGAACTTGAATGCAGGCCAAGTCTGACCCAAGCTATGAGCGGCCTGTAGATACGCACATTGGACAGGGCCGGCCCAAGCCTAGGGTGAGCTGGGCCAAGACCTAGTGCATCAAATTCTATGAAGCTGTTATTATTTTGGGTATGTTAATTGGGCCAAATATATGATCCACAACTCTAGTCTACCGAAAGCAGCGACCTAGTATTAAAGGCCGTTAAAGAAAATATCAAGCATTTTTTCTGATGATATTTTCAACTTATTTGCCAATAATATAGATAAGTTAATTTCAATGTTATATGTTGTGTTTATAGAAGTGGATAACTTCCTAAATTAATTCTAGTATCTTCATTTTTTCCTCGTTTTCCATTTGGATCGACAAGGATTTAATTAGATAGCATTTTGCATAACTGTAAGAAATTATAGCATCTCATGCTTTATGAGTATAGTAATCAAAACCAAAGCTTTTTCTTCTTTCAACAAGAGTGGACGTCAATCTCATGAGGGCATTCATGTCTTATTCAACATGTTATCGTGTCTTAAGACATATTTGAGTAAATTACACAAAAGGTCCATGTGGTTAGGGGTTACTTGCACGCTTGGCCTTTAGAGTTTATATATAGTTTATATATAGCTTTTACCCCATTAGAGTTTATATATAGTTTATATATAGCTTTTCAGCCCACTTTCTATAAAAAGATTTGTGGCCCATATTTTTAGCCCAATACAGTTTATATGTAGACCCCACAAAAGGTCTCTATGGTTTGGTGTAATTTGCGCGTTTGATCCCTAACTTATTTTTTTAACTCGGAAGGTCCCTAATATCTGTTTTTGTTACACGTTTGGTCCCTGTCTTACCTAAAAGACTATTTTGCCCTTGATTTTTTTCATTTATTTAATCAAAAACACTCCCAACCCCACTCCGTCACCTTACCTTACCTACCCCACCATTTTCCCCTATTTAAATAATAGTATTTTTAGGTAAGATAAGGACCAAGCGCGTAACAAAAATAAATAGTAGGGACCAAGAGTGTAACAAAAACAAATAATAGGGACCTTCCAAGTTAAAAAAATAAGTTAGGGACTAAACTCGCAAATTACCCAAAACCATAGGGACCATTCGTGTAATTCACTCAAAAAGAGAAAGGTAAACCGAACGAAAGTGGGAAACAGAAAAAACAATGGTTTAAGTACCTAGAACAAAAAACTAACACCCCGTTTCCGAGTTCAACTTAACAAGAGAAAGGAAAGGAAATAGGTGGAAATGAGAAGAAAATAAGTGAAATTGGTGTTCATAAGTTTCATTAAAGGAGAGAAGTGAAGGGAAATGGAATGATCACTTTCCCTCTTAACTTTCCTTCAGATTTGGGAGGATTTGGAAAGAAAGCAAAATGATTCATTTTCCTTCCACTTCTCTCCAACTCGGGAATACAAAATAAAATTTGTTTTCCTTTCCTTTCTCTTCTTTTCTCTCGGGACTTTATTTTCTCTTTTTTTTTTTTTTCTTTTGTTAAATTTGGGAATGAGGCGTAAGAGACAAATCGACATTTCCATCCGTTGCCAACGATCTTCAAGCCTCCGTTTTTCACGTCTTCACGTAATTACACCTATGATATCGGCCTATCATCTATGAGACTTTAAGGTAATGTTAACTTCGGATTTTTTTTTTATGTTATAAATCAAATGATTTTATTATACCGTTGGGTATGAGCAACATGTTATTACATGTTATCACACCCAAAGTGTCCACCTCATCATCATACTCATACTTATGGTGTTATAACACCCAATGTGGAAATGGACAATACCAAATAACATGTAATAACACTTATCATTTTTTTTTGATGTTTTTAATTTCCATTTTTCTATTTTGTTTTATTTTTTTAATTTATGTCATAATAATTTTAGAAAACATATAAATTAAATAACACATAATTAAAATAAATACTAATTAAAAACTACATTACAACGAACAAAAATAAAAATGTCATTACAACGAAAAAAAACATGACCGAAAAAAAAATTGATCAAAAAAAACATTACAAAGAAAACACTAATCTTTGTCTAAATATTTATGATCGATATTCACCTTCATTTTTTGGAGCATCTCCAACCATCTCGGTGACATGTTCCCTTCGCTAGTTTGAAGATTTGTCAAATCTTTCGCATTGCGATCTTCCTTGGTTTCACGACGAAGGAAATCCAAATGATCCCTACGTGCGATTTCGTTGTGATCGTCAAATGTTTGTTTCATTTTGGCTTGCTCTCGACGTTCTACTTTCGCCTTCCTCTGCATGTCATTAAGTACGCCTCGCTTTGTCGCGGCCTATCGGTCGTTGAGGCGGGGAGATCTCTTCATAGCCGTTCCAAGTCGTCTAGTATCTCATCTGTGTCCTTATTGAGGTATATGTTCGTGCATGCGTTCAAAACATCGACCGAACCCAAACCGTGCGCTCTCTTCGATTGTTGTTCCGTAAATGTGTCTGTTTTATTCCACTTTGGGTCTTCCTTGACAATCTCCCAAATCCTTTTGTGCTAAAAAACATGACCGGTCTCGACATTATATTGGTCCCTCGCCGCTCTATAAACGTCAAAATCAGTCGCACGATTTGTTTGTGTGAGGAAAGTTTGTTGTATACGGAATTGTACTTTGTGCACTTCTTGCTTATTTGAATCAATTTGCTACCCAACATGTCGTGATTACGATACTTTTCATCTATTTTCAAAATTTCCCAATCACAGCTTCCCTAAAAACAACTTTTCTCATATTGTTTCCTTGTGTTGGATTTTTTGATGTCCCGCACCAAGCCACCGCCAACGCGTATTTCTCCTCCGCGGTCCACCATGTTGGAGGTTCATCTTCTTGCTCCACGGCAACCGCTTTCCCTTTCCTTCGTGCTCTCCCTTTCCGGGCCATTTTTTTTCAGCTCCCCCCGCTTGCGTCTCGTGTACTGTTTCTTGGGTGGGTGGTGGTTATGAGGTATTTTGTTGCATTGTAGCGAATGGGTTAAAAAGGTTTTGTGGAAGTGTTGTAGGGAATTGTGATAGGGTGAGGTGGGATTGAAAAAGTTTCATTGCGTGGTGAGGATGTTCGCGTACAATTCGTATTCTACAAAACCAAGAGAGAGGGGTGTATTTGTGTTTGGAGGACGAGTGTTGGGGTTTTGATCCAATTAATTACCATAATTAATCATAGCAAGATTACAAATATACCCTTATTAATTTAATTAATTATTTAATTATTTCCTAAATTCCTATTGGTGCTTTCATGCACACAATAGTTGCTGGAAACATTTGAACCTAGTTCTCTCTCTCTCTCTCTCTCTCTCTCTCTCTCTCTCTTTCTTTATATATATATATATATATATATATAGGGTTAGGTTATTTTGTTTTCACTATCTATTGTGTGCATGTATGATTGATTCTGGACCAATTATTTTAGTTATTTTAAGAAAGTAATTAATGCATATTAAATGCTGAAGATACATACTATTGAAAGGGAGAATGAATTATACTTACTGTGTGCATGTGTAAGATATCCATGATTTGAGTGGAAAGAAGTGAGATATTCAAAGGGAGAATGAATTATACTTAC